CATCCTCTCTTCTTCCCTGTCTCTTCTGAATTCTGGTGAGCCAACTCATTTGGACTCTCAGACTCTCTCCCTTTCCTGTCTCGATCTTTCTCTTTTCTCGTCATCCCTTTACTTAGATTTCGCGTGGCGGGTCCTTGATGACCTCCATGGCAGTGACCATTTTCCCATCCTTGTTACCTTTTTCTCTTTTCACCCTCCTCTCTCCTTCCCTAGGTGGTGGTGTGCCGAGGCTGACTGACGCTTGTTTACCCTCCATGCTACTATCTCTGACCTCTCCGTTCTGCCTCTCCCTCGCGCCCTCTTTCTTTTCCATGACAGTCTTTGATGCTGCCCTCCGCTCTATTCCTCGCTCTTCTTCTCGGGGAACGCGGGAAGTGCGCTCCCTGGTGGAATGTGGACTGTGCTCGGGTTGTCCGCTGTAAGCGTGCAGCCTGGAAGAGACACCACCACCGGCAGACGGTTGAGTCTTTTCTTTGTTTCAGAAGGCGAGTGCGGTGGCCCGTTAGACCATCCGTACGGCTAAACATGCATGTTGGATGTCTTATGTCTCTACTATTACGTTCGAAACTCCTCTGCCACTGGTCTGGAAGCGTATCCGCAAGATAGCGGGTGAGTTCGTTCCTGATGTATCGCCGGCCATGCACCTCCGTAGTGCTCTTGTGGTGGACCCATTGCAGGTCGCACCCAAACTGGGTTCCCACTTTTCATCTGTTAGCTCTGGTTCTCATCTTCCTCAATCCTTCCTTCTTCGTAAGCCTATTCTTGAATCTCGTCCTTTAGATTTCTGTACCCATCTTTGCCTTCCCTATAACGATCCCTTCTCTCTCTCTCTGAGCTTCAGTCTAGCCCAGGCCCTGTACGGTTCTACAGCGGCGGGTTCCGATGGCATTCATTGAGATGCTTCGCCATCTCGCTCCGTGCATGTCTCAGGATTTACTGAGTCTGGATAATCGGGTCTGGGAATCGTCGTCAGTCCCTGAGGACTGGCTCGATGCTGTTGTCCTCCCTGTTCGGAAACCAGGGTTTCTCGGGTCATCCCTCAAGGACTTTCGCCCTATTGCCTTCACAAGTTATCTGCAAGCTCTTTGAACATTTTTTTTTTTTTTTAGATATATACATACAAGAGTTGTTACATACTTGTACAGCCACTAGTACGCGTAGCGTTTCGGGCAGGTCCCTGGAATACAACCCCAACGAAGAATCGTTAAACATATGGTTTACATTCGTCTGAAGTGGTTCTTCGAACACCATCACCACCTCTCTCCTTCTCAATTAGGTTTTTGCAACTGCGGCAGCACGACAGATGTCCTGGTGAACTTGGAGGTCTATATTCGTACTGCTTTTAAAGCGAAGACCTCCGTTGTTGCCGTCCTTTTTGACCTGGAAAAGGCTTACGACACTACCTGGCGGTATCATATTCTGTCCCATCTCCATTCTTTAGGCCTTCGTGGGACTCTCCCTCTCTTCCTCCAAAGTTTCCTCTCGTCGTTCCTTTCGAGTGAGGCTTGGTACCACTCTCTCTGCCACTTTTAGGCAGTATGAGGGTGTACCCCTGGGTAGTGTTCTGAACACAACTCTTTTTCTAGTTGCCCTCAATGGTCTTCTTTCCTCTATTCCTTCTGGCGTCTTATCAGCTCTCTATGATGACGATCTTACCCTTTGCTGTCGGAGTGATGGTTCACCTCGCCTTCAACGGCGACTTGAACTTGCGATTGATGCCGTGTCGTCTTGGGCCAACAATCATGGCTTCAAGTTCTCTACAACGAAGACTTGTGCTATGACTAACTCGAAAACATGTCGTTCTTCGTTGTCACTTTATGGTCATCCTCTTGTGTACAAAGATTCCACGAAGTTTTGGGGGTTAATCTTTGACACTCGTTTGTCTTGGTCGTTCCATATCGCTTGCCTCCAAGTTGAATGCTCTATAGCCCTTAACCTATTTAGGGTTTTGTCCCATACTTCTTGGGGAGCGGATAGGTGCACGCTCCTTTATTTGCACTCCTCTTTCGTCCTGTCCAAACTCGATTATGGTTGCTCTGCATACTCTTCTGCTCCTTCTACTCTTCACCGCCTTTGCACCATACTGGGTTGCGCCTCAGCTCTGCCTTTCGTTCGACTCCCGCCCTCAACTTGTATGTTGACACTGGCTTCCTATCTCTCCAGGACCGCCGTAATCGCTACTGTCTTCGCTCTCTTTCGCGGTCCTTACAACATCCTTCCTCTCGCTTCTGTCGTGCTTTAACTTTTACCCCTTCTGTGGTTCCTGTTCCTCTTCCTCGCCTCCCTCTTTCTGTCCGGCTGTCTCGCTTACAGGATTCTCTTTCCGTTCGCATTTCTAATGTTTCTCCTAGTATTGTTCCTTCCTTGCCCCGGTGGAGAGTCCCCCTTCCAAAGTTTTGTACATCCTTGACCTGCATCACTAAAGCTTTTACCCCTCCTACAGTTCTGAATACGCCATTTCCTTGAGCTCTTTTCTTCGCTCTCCCGCTCCGTTTCCATCTTCACCGATTGGTCTAAGTCTGCGAACGGTGTGGACTACTCTGTTGTTTTTTCCAGACTACACTTATGTGTCGTCTCCCTCCGGAGGCGAGCATTTTTACAGCAGAATTTTATGTTATTCTCTATGCTCTCCGTCTCCTGCTTTCTCATTATTAATCCTTCTTTGTGGTTGTCGTTGACTCCCGTAGTGCCCTCATGGCTCTAGGGTCCTTAAATCCTGTCCATCCGGTGGTCGTCGAGATTCAATATTGGATGTTTCTTATCTCTAGTAAATTTATATCCGTAGTTTTGCTGGGTTCCCAGCCATATTGGTGTTTCTTTAAATGTGCGTGCGGTTGCTGCCACTAGGGAAGCTATCCGCTCTTGTTTTGTCTCCTGTAAAGGTATTCCTTATTTCGACTTTTATCCAGTTATTCATTCCTCCATCCTTGCCCGTTGGCAGGGTTGTTGGTCTTCTGTAGTTGATAACAAGCTGCGTACTCTCAAACGTAGTGTCCTCGTGGCCTTCCTCCTGCCAACGTAACTGGCGGTGGGAAACGGCTCTAGCTCAGTTGCGTCTTGGCCATACTCACTTAACTCACTGTCACTTAATGGAGCGCCGCCCTGCTCCTTATTGTCCAAATTGCGGTGTCCCTCGTGCAGTCGTGCATATCCTTGTTGAATGTCCTGACTTCCAGTACATGCGTGTGTCTTGCTTTCTGACCGTCCCTTGTGGTCACTTGTCCCTCGATAGAATTCTTGGTGAATCGGATACTTTTGATTTCGTTCGCCTTATGTGTTTCTGTTCTCGAATTGGCATTCTTGGTGATATTTAGCACCCTCTGATAATTTCGCACTTTCATGTTGCTACATAGCCTTCCCGGTTGGTGCCTTCTTTTGATAATTACTTACTGCCTACAGGAAGGGGTATGAGATTTATAATTACAATAGGCACTATTAGTTATTACATATAATAATGGTGCTTCTCAAATCATCATTTTATAAATAGTGTATGATTTGAAAATCTTTGAAAAGAAAAAAAAGAGAGTGGATTGTAGGAACGTCAACAGAAAACGATGTTACATTGGAATGTGTTTGGGGTACACTAAAATCAAATCAAATCCGAAATCAAAATCAAAATGTTTATTCAGGTAGAAGTACATACATAGAAGATGAGTTACAAACATAATGTTGGATTTATAGATAGAGCTAGTACATTCAATACCTAAAGCCACTAATACAGCGTTTCAGGCAAGGTGTGGAGAGAAAAAAACACTTAGACTATAGATTAATACTAACTGACATAAAAGTATACATTGTGTTGAAATAAGGAAAAATGGGGGAAGGGGGAACATGGCAAAAATCAGCAATTATACAAGTTGGTCAACAAACAGTATTGTTTGAAAATAACAAGACATAGGTTGACATTTAGGGGGTAAGGTAGGTTGCATGGAGTTTATTAGGTAGTACTTAGTTTTCTCTTAAACTGGTTGAGAGAGGTACAGCCTTTGACATGATTGGGGAGGTCATTCCACATTCTGGGTCTTTTGATTTGTAAAGCATTTCTAGTTTGGTCAAGTCGCACTCTTGGAATATCAAATAGGAATTTGTTTCTGGTGTGGCGCCCATGAGTGGTGTTACAACCTTCTATGAAGCGTTTAAGGTCGAGATTGACATTGCAATTCTGAGTCTTAAATATATATAGAGTACACTTAAGAGGATGTGCAGTGACTTAATGTCTATCATGGTCAAAGATTTGAGTAAGGGTACCGAGTGCTGTCTGGGGCCAGAGTTAGATATTGTTCTAATAGCAGCTTTGTGTTGAGTAATTAGAGAACAGATGATGATTTTGGGTAGTATAACCCCAAGCACAAATACCATAACTGAGATAAGGATAGATGAGAGAGTAATACTACTGTAAACAGGATAGATATAGGCTACAAAAGAGATCACACGATGTTTATGGGATCCACTATACCACCTAAAAGGATAGGTATTGGGCCATCTATCACCTTTTAGATAGGTATGGGGTCCACTACCACCTTTTGGATAGGTATGGGGGTCCATTACCACCTTTTGGATACGTATGGGGACCACTACCACATTTTGGATAGGTATGGGGTCCACTACAACCCGCAGGATGTGAATGGGGACTACTACTGCCAACATAATTATTATGGGGTCCATTACCGCCCACAGCATGGGTATGGGATCCATTCCCGCCAACAGGATGGCCATGGGGTCCATTACCACCCACAGGATATCCATAAGTTACACTACAACCTGCAAGATGTGTATGGGGTCTACTAGCTACCGCCCACAGGATGGCCATGGGATCCATTACCGCCCACAGCATAGGTATGGGATCCATTCCCGCCCACAAGAAATCTGTGGGGTCCGTTACGACCCCCGGGATAGCCCTGGGGTCTATTACCACCCACAAGATGGCTGTGGGGTCCGTTACGACCCCCGGGATGGCCCTGGGGTCTATTATCACCCACAGGATGGCCATGGGGGGTCCGTTACGGCCCAAGGATGGCCGTGGGGTCCGCTACGACCCCCGGGATGGCCGTGGGGTCCGTTACGGCCCAAGGATGGCCGTGGGGTCCGCTACGACCCCCGGGATGGCCGTGGGGTCCGTTACGGCCCCCGGGATGGCCGTGGGGTCCGTTACGGCCCCCGGGATGGCCGTGGGGTCCGTTACGGCCCTTGGGATGGCCGTGGGGCCCGTTTACGGCCCCCGGGATGGCCGAGGGGTCCGTTACGGCCCCCGGGATGGCCGTGGGGTCCGTTACGGCCCTCGGGATGGCCGTGGGGTCCGTTACGGCCCCCGGGATGGCCGTGGGGTCCGTTACGGCCCCCGGGATGGCCGTGGGGTCCGTTACGGCCCCCGGGATGGCCGTGGGGTCCGTTACGGCCCCCGGGATAGCCGTGGGGTCCGTTACGGCCCCCGGGATGGCCGTTGGGTCCGTTACATCCGCCGGGATGGCCATGGGGTCCGTTACGGCCCCCGGGATGGCCGTGGGGTCCGTTACATCCGCCGGGATGGCCATGGGGTCCGTTACGGCCCCTGGGATGGCCGTGGGGTCCGTTACATCCCCCGGGATGGCCATGGGGTCTGTTACGGCCCCCGGGATGGCTTGGCAAATTTGAGGTTTAACCTCAAATTTGCATGATTAAGCAAGTTAGTGTATAAAAGCATAGACACGGTGTTCTCCCATATTAACAGGAGCTTGATGAAAGAATGTGAGTGACCACTCATTTACTCAAAACACAATTTACACAAAATTCATTTTTATTTCTAGTCTGACGCGACACTTGAGCGCGTTTCGTAAAACTTATTACATTTTCAAAGACTTTAGTTTACACATACACAACTGAATAGAACTTACACATCTCCGATTTGTTTATATCTACATTTGAGTGAGGTGGATGGGGTGAGGTGGTATTTAATAGGGTATTAAATTCATCAACACAAGACAGAACACGAAACAATGGGTATTGAATAGAAGTGATTGTAGAAAGCCTATTGGTCCATATTTCTTGATGCTTCTATATTGGAGCGGAGTCTTGAGGTGGGTAGAATATAGTTGTGCATTAATTGGCTGTTGATTGCTGGTGTTGACTTCTTAATGTGCAGTGCCTCGCAAACGTCAAGCCGCCTGCTATCGCTGTATCTATCGATGATTTCTGTGTTGTTTACTAGGATTTCTCTGGCGATGGTTTGGTTGTGGGAAGAGATTATATGTTCCTTAATGGAGCCCTGTTGCTTATGCATCGTTAAACGCCTAGAAAGAGATGTTGTTGTCTTGCCTATATACTGGGTTTTTTGGAGCTTACAGTCCCCAAGAGGGCATTTGAAGGCATAGACGACGTTGGTTTTTTTTTTAAAGCGTTCTGCTTTGTGTCTGGAGAGTTTCTCATGAGTAGGCTGGCCGTTTTTCTGGTTTTATAGTAAATCGTCAGTTGTATCCTCTGATTTTTGTCTGTAGGGATAACGTTTCTATTAACAATATCTTTCAGGACCCTTTCCTCCGTTTTATGAGCTGTGGAAAAGAAGTTCCTGTAAAATAGTCTAATAGGGGGTATAGGTGTTGTGTTAGTTGTCTCTTCAGAGGTTGCATGGCGTTTCACTTTCCTTCTTATGATGTCTTCGACGAAACCATTGGAGAAGCCGTTGTTGACTAGGACCTGCCTTACCCTACAGAGTTCTTCGTCGACTTGCTTCCATTCTGAGCTGTGGCTGAGAGCACGGTCGACATATGCGTTAACTCCTCTTGTACCTATCTGGGCAGTCGCTGTTGGCATTTAGGCACATTCCTATGTTCTTTTCCTTATTGTAGACTGCAGTGTGGAAACCGCTCTTTTCCATGACTGTTACATCTAGAAAGGGCAGCTTCCCATCCTTTTCCATCTCGTTAGTGAAACGCAGCACCGAACTCCGCTCAAATGCCTCCTTCAGCTCCTGCAGATGTCTGACATCAGGTACCTGTGTAAAAATGTCGTCAACATACCTGCAGTATATGGCCGGTTTCAAGTTCATGTCGACTAAGACTTTTTGCTCGATGGTACCCATGTAGATGTTTGCAAACAGGACACCTAGGGGAGAACCCATGGCGACCCCATCTACTTGCTTATACATGTGCCCATCCGGGCTCAAGATGGGTGCCTCTTTAGTACAAGCTTGGAGTAGTTTCCTTAGGATATTTTCTGGTATGTCAAGAGGAGTACAGGCTGGATCACGATACACTCTGTCGGCTATCATCCCGATTGTCTCGTCCACAGGTACGTTGGTTAACAGTGATTCTACGTCCAACGAGGCTCTTATTCCTGTGGCCCGTGTGCCCCGCAGTAAGTCAACAAATTCCTTTCGAGACTTCAGGCTGAAGGCGCAAGGGACATAAGGAGTCAGCAGGCCGTTGAGTCGCTTCGCCAGTCTGTACGTGGGTGTGGGTATCTGGCTAATGATTGGCCGAAGTGGGTTTCCAGGCTTATGTGTCTTGACATTTCCATACGCATATCCAGGTTTATATTCCCCAAAATTCTTTGGCAGGTGGAGTCCTGATTTCTTGGCGTTCACAGTTTCGATCAGTTTGTTGACCTTTGCTCTCAATTCGGCTGTTACCACCAACAGTGAAAAGAAATGTACGAAAGATTGAGAAAATTCGTGTTAGAATTATTAATCTTACTTTTTCGGCCATATTTAATAATATATATATATATATATATATATATATATATATATATATATATATATATATATATATATATATATATATATATATATATATATATATATATATATATATATATATATATATATATATATATATATATATATATATATATATATATATATATATATATATATATATATATATATATATATATATATATATATATATATATATATATATATATACATAATATTTTTGGTGCCTCCCTCTGTGCTCTCAAAAAGAAGGACGAGGGGAATCAGGCCAATCGCTTTTGGCAACACTCTCCGACGCCTGATTGCCAAGGCTGCTACGAGAGTAGTCAGCCAGCAAGCGGCTGAATTGCTGAAACCAATCCAGCTAAGATTTGGAATCCCCCAAGGGTGTGAAGCGGCTGCCCATGCAGCACGAGCATACATCATCAACATTTCTGATGAAAAGGCCCTGCTCAAACTGGACTTTAAGAATGCCTTCAACATGGTCAGAAGAGATGCAGTACTTAGTGCCGTACATCGCCATTTCCCGCCCCTCTACCCGTTCATACTATCGTGCTACAGTGGCGAGTCAAAACTGCTCTTTGGTGAACATGAAATCAGATCATGTGAAGGTGTTCAGCAAGGTGATCCTCTTGCTCCCCTTCTTTTCTGCTTAGTCTTAAAAGAAATCACCGAAAGCTTGTCCAGCGAGTTCAACATCTGGTTTTTGGATGATGGCACTGTAGCTGGCACCATAGACTACCTCTTGTCAGATATCAGGAAAATAAGGGAGCAAGAAGTAAGCCTTGGTCTCGTCCTGAACCCTTCCAAGTGTGAACTAGTCTCCTCCAACACAGACATCGTAGCTAGAATAAGGTCTGCCTTGCCTGGAGCCCATGTCATTAGGGCCGAAAACAGCACCCTCCTTGGAGCTCCCCTCGGGTCTAACGCCATTGATGAGATCTTCGACAAGAAAATCGCAGACCTTAGGAGGATGGAAGACAGAATAGGTGACATCGATGCCCACGATGCTTTTTATCTCCTCACCAAATGCCTATCCCTTCCGAGGCTAACCTACTTTCTGAGGTGCGCCCCATCTTACGACAACCGAAAGCTTGAAGAGTATGACCTCCTGCTGAAGACCATGCTGGAAAAAGTTGTTAACCTCTCCCTCAACGAATGCCAGTGGAAACAAGCCACTCTTCATGTCAGGCTCGGTGGCTTGAGTGTCCGCACAGCCACCCAGATTGCTGTCCCAGCCTTCCTGTCTTCCTCCTCAGCATTAGATGACCTGGTTAAGGAAATTCTACCTGACACCCTGAGTGATGTAGCGGGGATACAGGACCCCCACTACACGGAATGCGACACGAAATGGGGTGCCATGACAGACCCAGCACTCAGACCAGCCATGCCGAAAGCCAAGAAACAATCCAGTTGGGACAGCCCCATTGTAGACAAAGAAGCCACAGCTTTGCTGTAGGCAGCAACAACCCCCAGTGATCGTGCACGCCTCACAGCTGTGCAGGCTCCCCATGCAGGGGACTTCCTTCTGGCAGTCCCCATATCTGCGACAGGCACACGTCTTGATCCGCAGGAGCTCCGTATTGCAGTCGCTCTCCGCCTTGCTGCCCCTATCCACACTGTTCACAGGTGTATTTGCGGCGAGGCAGATGCCGATGAAAATGGATTGCATGGCCTGCACTGTGGAAAATCGGGTGGTTGGCACACTAGACATGACGAAGTCAACGACATCATTAAAAGAAGCCTTGCCTCTGCTCAGTGTCCAGCGGAGAGAGAGCCCCGCAACCTACTGAACCGTGACTCTGTTAGCTTTGCCGGCCGACCAGACGGAATCACACTGCGTCCGTGGAAGGGTGGCAGACAGTTAGCATGGGACTATACTTGCGTTTCCACCCTGGCAACGACATACATCGCCCTCTCTGCCTGCACAGCAGGAGCCGCAGCGACACACAGAGAAAAACAAGTCAGTCAAGTACAGGCAATTAGATCAACGATACAACTTCATTCCAATAGGGTCTGAGACCCTAGGCCCATGGGGTGAGAGTGCAAGAAGGTTTCTTAAGGATCTTGGTTCCAAGCTCATTGACACCACAAGAGACCCTAGAGCAGCAAATTTTCTCTTTCAGCGCCTCAGTGTCGCGATCCAGAGGGGGAATGCCCGCTGCATCCTCGGTTCCTGCCCGGCGTCGGAGGAGTTCGAGGAAATCTACAGCCTCTAGGAATCGAACTTTTTCTTGTGTCCTCTTAATGTTCATTTTTTGTATAAAATCAGATATGTAACTGTATAACCTTGCATAATAAAGTGTACACCGTAATAAAAAGAAAAAAGGGGGTGGTAGGAGAAGCGAACACTCTTTCGTATTCAGAGTTAAATGGCAAGTTTTTCCCTGAATGCTCTGTGTTCCCTTCTCTGAGGCTGTGGGTCCCTATAATTGCACCAGTGGTGGTACCCCCTATATATATTAGTATGTTTTGGTAGCAGTCTTTCTTGCAAACATATATTATTAAATATGACCGAAAAAGTAAGATTAATAATTCTAACATGAATTTTCTCAATATTTCTTATGTATCTTTTCACTGTCGATGGTAATTGAAAAACCAATTCTCCAAAATTCATTTTTGTTTCTAATCTGATGAGACACTTGAATGCGTTTCATAATAACTTATTACATTTTCAAAGACTTTAGTTTACACACACACAACTATAACCTGCAAACACTAAACAGAGTCCTACTATGCTATAATTTAAACGGCTTTCATTTTATATACCTGCATTTGGGTGAGGTGATATGTTACAATAGTTTTGGATGACGTGAAAACACAAGACAGAACACGAAACAATGGGATAATATTGGGTAAGTTTAAAGGGAAGAATGGAAGTATCTGCAAAGGGCCTATTGGCCCATATTTCTTGATGATTCTATATT